GATGTGTAAAAATGACATAATTAATGAGAAGTGTGAAAATGACATAATTAATGAGAAGTGTGAAAAGGACAAAAACTTACCAATTTTGGAAAATATTTAATGGGAATCCGACATTGACCATAATTTGACCTACTATTTTGGATAAATGTAAATTTTTATTATATAAGTATAGATTTACTGTTCCTTTTTTTATATATCATTATATTCCATAGAATTTTAAAGTGAAACTTCATTATCATTAGTTATTAGTACGTTACTCTTGCGATAGAGCATTTATTTCCTATTTGTTTTTTAAAATGTATTTTTGTATTTAAATTGTCTCATGACATTCAAAATATCATGAAAATAAAAATTTATATGTTATTAAGTACTTTCTTATGTACAACATTATTTGTTTGATTCATTGGCACGTAAAATACTACATATGTGTTCGAATTTTATCTAAAATTATATATTATTAGTTATTAGTCAACAAATATTAATAAAATTAAAGAATCTTATTAATTAAACTAATTATAGTAGAAAAAAGTAGAAATGTTTTTAAGAGCATGTTTGTTTATGAAAATTTTTGGTTTTGTTTAGATTATTTGGTTTGGTTTGGTTAATTTTGAAAAAGGTGGTATGGTTAGATGTTAGTGGGTATATTAAAATAATATTTAAAATCAAATAATTAAAATCGATTTGATGTAAAAGTATGAGATAGATGATTTGAAGTGATAGTTAGTTAAAATAATGTGAGTGGATGAATAGTAAATTAAGGTTGATGTGGTGTGTATGATTGATTGTTTGATATTATTTAATTATATTGATAATATTGATGATAGTGGGGTTGAGTTAAAGTTGAGTTAAAAAACGTGGTTGAGTTAAAATGTTTGAAATTTTTTGAAAAAATCTTATAAACAAACATGCTCTAAGGATTTTCACCCATTATTTATTTTAATCTAATTCTAAATTTTAATTAAGAAAAATTAAAAAGAATCATTATTTACTCCTGAAAATGAAACCGATTTTCCTACGAATAAACCGATTTTTTTATCAAACAAATTGATCCGAATATTTATTTAAAGCAAATAGAAAATCATCAATTTTTTCTAAAAATGCAACCGAATTTTCCTAACGCTACACAAATTTTTTTATCAAGCAAATTGAATTGAAAATAATTTTAATAATAAATTGAAATAATTTGTTAATGTTTATGCAACTGTCTCTTTCCTAAAGAAAACGATATGAACTTAACCAAAAAAAAAATGATATGAACTTACCAAAGTCTCAGTAAAACATGATTAAGAAAAAATATAAGAATCTAAAAAAATCGATGCATTTAAATTTTGAAAAGCTAAATAATTGAATAAGGTGACTTTAAATATCAAAGATGAACCGCTTTTGTTACAAAAAATGTGGACACAATTTTGAATGTACATCCCGTCCAAATATCAGTTTTACTTAATAATAAAAATTGCACGTGGTTTTATCCAATTTACACATTTTTTTTGAAAGAAAAATTTATTCAATAAGATTGGAAGAATTGGTTAAGAATTATACAACTATTTGTTTCCTAAATTTGTATCCAATTTGTACGGTTTTTAAGTTAATTTATATTAGAATTGTTTTCATAAATAATTGACACATTTTTTGAATAAGAATCTCCAAATTTGTTACAAAAATATATGATTTAAATTTTGGTAAAAAAAAAATAAAATATGATGCGAAAAAAATGGGATTCAAATTTTGTCATAAGAATCTCCAAATTAGTTACCAAAAAAATAGGATTCAGATTTTGTTACTAAAGATTCACATGTATTTTTTCGAACTTTTCATTTATAGTAAATCAATTGTTTTATTTATTAGGTCAAACTTTCTATTAATGTATTTTTTCAACAATCTCTTTATATATATATATATATGTATTATTGTTAATCAATAGAGCCTACCTATTAATTAATTAATTAATATATAAAAAAGCTAAAAGTTTATCTTAAATAGTAAAAAAAACCCGATTAAAATTCTTACTTTTACTAAATATGAAAATTTTGAAAATAATTTGAATTTTAATCTTTTGAATGTTATATGAAATTATGGGAGAATCTCTTAAATTTTGTTCAATTTAAAAGGATTTTTCTAGCCATTTTTTCTTACTTATCAGAAAATATAATTTTTGATAAAATTCTACCAAAATAATTATTTTATAGAATTACGTGATAGTCAAATTAAATTTCTGAATAAAAATTTTGAAATGACACATATATTGAAACGAATATAATGTAATTTATTATCAGTTATGTGCAACGGGTTGTGTACTAATTTTAAAAATAAACATTTTATGTAATTTTACACAATTTAAATCTTATATAACATTTATAATAATTAATATAGGTACATTGTATTACATATTGGTTCCATGTTTTTGAATTTATAAATATTATTTAATAAAATTTTTTGATTTATAAATATTGATAAATATCTCTTACCACGAGATTCGTACTAGTTATTTCTAATTAGAATTTTTAGTAAATAAGTAATCCTGTTATATGTTATATAGTAATAAATTTCTAGAATAGAGAGATATGAAAAATAAAAATAACAATTAATATTTTAATTATAAAAACTTCATCCCCTCTATATATAATTTCAGAATGCGCTAAACCTACATGACAAACTTTCATAGTTCGGAATCCTATTTGGCAAAAAATCATGTTTGGAGTTACACTTGGATATAAATTAATATTTGTATTAATTATATTTTAATATAATTTCATGTTATAACCATTGAATTGCAAATATATTTTAAAATTGATAAATTTTGTATTTCTTATCGGTTTTACATATATTATATATCAAATTAATCATCTTTTGATGAACTTCAATTTGACATCTATATTGTATATATAAAATAAATAAATTATATTTATATTTATAATAATAATAAAATTATTTATTAAAATTATTTAGAAAATAAAATTATTTATCAATTAATATATTTATGTTTAATGTAGTTATATGTTATAAGGTAGAAAATTTATTATAATATAACACATATAAGTCGCACAAGAAACACGTGTCATACTAAAATATATAATAATATATACTCCCTCCTATTTTTATTATTTGTCACTTTGACTTAATTGATCATTGATAAAATAAATGTCGTTTTAGATATTTTGTTCATATTTTTCCATTTTTAACCCTTCATCCAATACACAATGTCTCTTCATATCCCATCTTCATCGTTTCCTATAACATCCATTAAATAAGGTTAATATTAAAAAAAAAATTAATTAGTGTGTGGCATTTGAATTGATATTATGAAGTCCGTTTGTATTTTACTATTATATATATATATATATAAAATACAAAACAGTAATATATATCCTTATAAATAAAATTAAAATTTATTTATCAAACTAAATTAAATTATATCAAATAAAACTACAAATTACATTATAAAGTAATAGAAATTGGTATGTATTCTCTTAAAAATAATATTTATTTCAAATCTAATTGATATGTTGTCAATGTAATAAAAATAAATAATTATTTATACAAATTCTAAAATTACATATAAAGTTAAAAAACTGTGAAGCACAATTGATACGACACTTGATATATTAGGCATCTAATTAAGTAAAAAAATTAATCTATTTTGCTTAATGTTAAATAAACATATTCAACACTTATGCATATACATATCACCATATTATTTCTATTTATTTAAATTATATATTTTTGTACTTATGTAATAGTAAATAATATCGATATTTTTATATGATATAAGTAAAAAAATTCAACACGGGTTGACATTTTCATTAAATGTACGTGTGTTTAATTATTATGATTAAAAAATATAATTTAAAAATTTGATAAAAACCCAAAGTAATATTTTTATATAAAATTAAATTATCTTATTTTTTTAAAAAAAAAAATGAATATTTTTTACAAAAGCTTTCTAATTCAACACCCGTGTAATACACGGGTATTCAAGTTTTATTATTTGTCACTTTGGCTTAATTATCATTTATAAAATAAATGTCGTTTTAGATATTTTGTTCATATTTTTTCTATTTTTAACCTTCCATCTAATACACAGCGTCTCTTCATATTCCATCTCCATCGTTTCCCATAACATCCATAGAGTTAATATTATCAAGAAAAAAAAAATTTAATTAGTGTGTTGCATTTGAATTGATATTATGAAGTCTGTTTGTATTTGACTATTTATTTATATATATATATAATACAAAACCGTAATATATATCCTTATAAATAAAATTTAAATTTATTTATCAAACTAAATTAAATTATCTCAAATAAAACTATAAATTATATTATAAAGTAATAGAAATTGGTATGTATTCTCTTAAAAATGATATTTATTTCAAATCTAATTAGTATGTTGTCAATGTAATAAAAATAAATAATTATTTATAATTCTAAAATTACATATGAAGTTAAAAAACTATGAAGCACGATTGATACGACACTTGACGTATTAGACATCTAATTAAGTAAAAAAATTAATCTATTTTGCTTAATATTAAATAAACATATTCTACACTTATACATATACATATCACCATATTATTTCTATTTATTTAAGATATATATTTTTGTACTTATGTTATAATAAATAATATCGATAATTTTATATGATATAAGTAAAAAAAATCAACACGGGTTGACATTTTCGTTTAATGTGCAGTTGTTTAATTATTATGATTAAAAAAAATATAATTTGACAATTTAATTAAAACCCAAAGTAATGATTTATATTAAATTAAATTATTTATTTTTTTAAAAAAATAAATTTTTTAATATTGTTACAAAAAGTTTATAATTTAACACCGTGTAATGTATTGTAGTATTAGTAAAATTTTAAATTGAAACAAAAAGTCCGGTGGAATTCACAATATCCATATTTTTCATATGTAGAGGGGGTTTAACGAACAACTCTCAAACATGAAGGATCAATGTATAAAATCAGAATATCCATTTTTTTCATAGAAAAAGCTAAAGAAAACTAAAGAGAAAAAAGGAGTGTCAATTTGATAGCTAGTGTGGCAGCTCTCAAATTCCTAATACAAATACAAATCCATCTAGATCAATTTCCTATTGTTGTTGGCGTAACAGTTTCGAATTCTATCAGACGATTTTGGCGTTATAAATCGAATCACAAACTCGTAGGGCCCTGTTAACTCTGTGGTCGACGCACGAACAGGGAATATGGAGCCGCCGGCGACAGTTGGTGACGGCGGCGGAGGCGGAGCAAGGCGCCAGCACCAGCAGCAACAGCAGGGGGCGGGTAGTATGTTGACGGGGATAATTAGGGTGGCGGTGTTCTGGTACTTTGCGTCCAAATTCTTCGGACCCAAGCGACCGCCGCCGCAATCCTCTCACCAGATCTCCAATCTATTTCACAAGGGGGAACCTCTGGTCCGTACATTTATGAAACTTGAAGCTTTATATGCATGCGGTATTTCATTTGGTGTGTAATTTTTGCAATTCATATATATGTATGGTGTTTGCATGTGTTATCGGCATGTGATTGGAAAGGGCAGATTGAGGACATAGAATAACATATATAGGTTGAAACTTATGTCGCAGGAGTACTATTATTGCTTGTGGCTTTCTCAGAAATATCAAAATCTTGCTTTGGTGTTTGCTGAGGGTTCTGATTTTCAGCATGAAATACAGTTCATTTGATGAAAAAGTCATACTTTTAGGGTCATTAGTTCTATGAAATGTTGTATTTGTCATAGAAACTTACAATATTTTGAGAAGTTATATGTTTCACCTCGAAATTAAGGATTTTTATTTAACATAAAAGTGATTATTACCTTGAATGATGATTTTTATTTGAAAAGCATTATTCTCGTATGCATGACAGATTGTAGTTTTTGCACAATAGGATAATTTGTTATTGTGGTATCATATTCAGGAGCTTGGTGCAGGCCATTAGTTTATTTATGTACCTTTTAAACCAGCCTGAGACATAAGGTGGCTCATGAGAACTTCGGAATTCCCCATGAAAGTGTTTGATTATTTCCTTGTTCAGATGAGTTCAATTATTTTTTAGATTTGTATGAAACATGAATGTGTTTGATTATACGAGTTGTGATGAGACGATGGGGAACTACATATACTTAATCAATGGGAGCCTGCGCATAGTAACATAAAAATAGAGTTAATTTACGTTTAATACAATAACTTTTAACATTTTCACAGTTCCAGTTCAATCCATAGACATTTGCAGTCATACATGATACACCCTTCTAAAAAGTAGCTTCTCATGGGCGACTAAAAATAGCTAGGACTAGAAAAGTCGTTGGAGAAGAAGACTGATCACTGGAGTAGAGTAATGCAAAAACAATTGCCAAAGTTATATAACAAAAATTATTGAAATTATAGTACTTTGGTGCATAAACAAAACTTATAAAATAAATAGATTAAACTCCAGTAAGCCTCATTAGATGGCTTAAAGGTTGAGCTAGAATCATGAAGTACAAAAGTGCACCTGGGTTACAGCATGTTCAACCCAGGTGGGAATAATATCGGCCAGGATATGGGAAAAAAATAGACCTATAGGATGAGTTTGGGTTGAAATAAAGATGATCTAATATTTATTTTCTAACTTTATAAACAAGTAAACAATTTAATGTCTACCACCCTCCCCAAGGTTGATGACCATAATTTGGTTCTATGAAGATTCTACTGTAGCTGACATTTGGGCCCTCATCTTCCATTTATCACAAGTGACAAGTATTCATTGATTCTGCTAGTGTTGTCTCTCTAAACTTGAAAACATATTGTACTTCTTTCCAGGATATGTGGTTATATATTTCCGAGCAGGAGAAATTTAATGACTTCGGCAGTGAGGGAGCCCTTGTCTGGCAAGAGACAAGCATACCTTATGCTGTTTGGACAGCAGATAGTACCAGAACTCTATCCTTGAAGTATTATCCTTCTGAGGTGGTGATTTTCAATGATTTTATTTCTTTTCATATTTGTTTCTTTCAAATAAATTTGTGCTTTTGTTTTTACGTTTTGCATTATGTTCGTTACTGTCTTCTGTTCAATTGTTGCCCTGGAAAGTTAACCATGAAGTACTTCGTCTGATTTTTAGGCTTTAAAGCACAATGGGAGTCTTTATGCTCATGTTTTCTTTGCTAGGTCTGGCTATCCGCCAGACCCCAAGGACCCTGAGTTCCAACCTTTGGCTGCATTTGGGAGAACCCACCGTGAGAATTTATATTATTATGATATAATTGATTGGTTTGTTGAGTTGTGCCTCTAAACGCTGTGTTTTTGTTTTGTATAGCTTTGGTGACATATTTGCCAAAAAAGACTGACAAGAAGAAGAGTCTTTTAGGGAACTCCAAGGACGCTGTAGATGATGAAAAGGCCACCGAGGTATCTAGTCTTAGTTGTTCCTTAATCCTTGTGTTTTTAAAATTTATATTAGTCTTCTTATTACTACTTTCTTAATTTGAAGATTGAGATACTTTGGTGATTTATTTTATTTTTGTCTTCTGTGAGTTCTCTTTTGTGTAGTATAAAAAGTTTATGGTACTACTGTTTTTCATTTATTTTTAGTAAAAACTGATATTGTTCAGGGACCCAATGATTCTAATGATGATGACAAAGAGGATGGACCAGTTGAATGGATGTCATATTGGAAACCTAATGTTACCATAAATCTGGTTGATGATTTTACCAGGTACAATCTTGCATAACATTTTTTAGATGGTTACGAGTCACTTAGTTTGGTGTTATTGATGCTACCATCCACAGTTCCATCTAAGCTGATGTACAAGTGTATGTTATTGTTGTTTCCACTCCCAAATATTTTATTATTTTGTTTTCGCCAATCTCATGTTGTGAAGTGAAAATCTGTTCAAGCATTTGTTGACCGAACACATTGGGTGAGACTGATGTGGGCACATATTAAATATCTGGACTAGAAGATGTGCTTTTCACAAATTTAAAAACCTACTGGCTGAAGATCTTTTTTGGGTTGGGGGGATTGGCTGCGACAATGGGAGTGAGATGAATATAAATTGCTTTATTTTCTTGTCTATGTAGGTCCTGCTCCTTTGTACCCATATAATTTGTTATTTGTTTGAGAAAATCAAGTGTTTTCGGTATTATGATAGTGACAGCTGTGTTGCTTCCTTTATCTAGTAATAAATGACAGGCAAACATATGATATGGATCTCTGTAAATGGGAAGTATTGTTATATAGGTTTTTGAAGAACTGCCTTGTAATAACTCCCTGTAAAGTTCTGGAGGGTGGTAGGGCATTGAGAATCACAATGCTAATATTCATAAGCTAAGTCCGATTTGGTTTCAGATATCATATGTTCTATCCTAGGTTTGGTCATTTGTTGATAGTGGAACACTCAGGAAACTATTCAAGCAAGATTCAGTGTCCATATGAATGCTCATGTCTATGGGAGTGACCATATGTGAAGCTCTTTTGCTGCAAATGTCGAGAACTTACGTGCATTAAGCACAATGCAATATGGTTGTTATTGAATGTATGGAGTAACATATACTTTTGTTTACCGTGTATGCATTAGTTTATGAGGTTCTTAAATTTGTCTGCTCATGGCTTTTTGGCTGGTACAGTGCTTAGTGTTAAATGTGTTCTTTTGCAGATACTCACAGAATGCAGTTCCGCCACATATTGCTCCTCGTATCCTTGGTTTTTCTCCAGTTGTACACATGACATGATTATGGTCATTATCTTGGTTTCTCTCAAATTCTTGTGAGTGGTTTAGGTTCTCTCAAATTCTTGTGAGTGGTTTAGGTTCTCTCATATGTCTTGTTCTCCAAGAGGAGAAAACTCTTGTGTAGAATGAAGGTATGCGTGAAGGATTGACTTGAATACTGAACATTTTGTTTAGAAAGGCAGCTGAATAAATGCCTCACGAAGTTCCTCACCTTGGTGTGCTAACTCATTTTCTATGTAGTGACAGTGCTTCTTAGTTCTCAGCCATTATGAAGTGATTCTACAGGTCCATCTATTTCACGTAGAGCTTACAGTCCTAACTATTTTGTTACAGTCCAGCATTTTCAGCTTTTGTTAAAAATGCCTATTTATGAGGACATGTGGTATAGTTAGGCCCTCAATCTAAATTTTTCCATATAACCTCCGCTAGATAAGGTTCGTAGCTTCTTACTGGCCTATGGCTGTCTAGTGCATTTAGGAAGAGCCTGCGTTATAATGTATGCACTGTATATGCAATTGAGTAGTTTTGTTCTTTTTATGCACTACAATCTCATGATTGGCTGAACAACCATTGTATGTTGTAATGCTGGATCCTTGACTTTAAATGTAAGACTTAAACATTGAAAATAGTACCGGAAACTACTACCCGACCATCTTCTTCAATGATTTTTGGTTACTTCGAGATAAGTTAATACCGGTCAATGAGACAGTGAATGAATTGCCTCTGAATCTAGAGGTTGGCCCCATTAGCATGACCAAATGGCAGCTATACCTACAGATTGACCAGTCATTCCAGATTCATAGGAATTATGGGAGCATGCTCGAAGGTGAAGCTGATGAACTTAAGGTACGATTATGTCCTTATGTCATTCCAGATTTCATGATTCTGTATTTTTGGTTAGTATGCGGCATTTCAAATGGTTTTCTCATTATTTGATCTTTTCAACAGAGAGTTTTTCTGGAAGGAAATCCTTATCTTTTGGCAATTACAATGGTTGTTTCAGTACTTCACTCTCTGTTCGACTTCTTGGCTTTTAAGAACGGTAATGGCATTGATTACCCTATAATTTACAGTTTTGATGAACTTTACCTCTTGAACCTTCTTTTGAAGCATATCATTATACTTTCTTTATTTGCAGATATTCAGTTCTGGAATAAAAACAAGTCCATGGAGGGATTATCTGCAAAATCCGTTGTCGTAAATTTCTTTTGTCAGCTTATAGTTTTCCTATATCTGCTTGACAATGAAACTTCGTGGATGATACTTGCAAGTTCTGGTATTGGCTGCTGCATTGAGTTCTGGAAAATAGGAAAAGCCATGCACATTGAGGTCTGACTTTGAGTTCAACTAAGTTCCATCAATAATTATTATTATTATTATTATTATTATTATTATTATTATTATTATTATTATTATTTAGTGTTGCGTTGGAACAGTCATCATTGTTCTTTTGATTTTTTTTCAGATTGATAGATCTGGTGTGATACCTAGGCTGAGGTTCCGTGACCGTGAGTCATATGCTAGTAACAAGACTAAAGAATATGATGATATTGCAATGAAGTACTTGACATATGTTCTCTTCTTTCTCGCCGTCTGTTTCTCTATTTATTCTCTGAAGTATGAACGACACAAGAGTTGGTACTCTTGGATTCTCTCATCCCTCACGAGCTGCGTCTACATGTTTGGTAGCATCTAAATCCTCCTTTTAGTTTTTTTATTTTTTATTTTTTCAACTGTGTAACTTCATACTTGGAGTTCGAAGAAGTATGAAGAGTGATGAAATAAGAAAAATACAATTCATAATTAGGTTTCCTTAAGAATCTGTTGGATGTTTTTGAGATAGTAATAACACAAAGTTTAGCGGGTCACGATATTTTAGAAATCAGATTCCTTCGGTTTTGGTTATATTGACACTTGTCTGGTTTGATGCAGGTTTTATTATGATGTGCCCACAACTGTTCATTAATTATAAGCTAAAGTCCGTTGCACATATGCCTTGGAGGCAGATGACGTACAAATTCCTGAACACGATCATTGATGATCTCTTTGCATTTGTCATTAAGATGCCGATCCTTCATCGACTTTCTGTCTTCCGTGATGGTGAGTGGTCATACATTTTTGCTTATTTTTTTCTCCCTAAAGTGATTTTTTCTTTTTTATTTTACTAAATCTATTTTTTGTTATTTTACATTTGTATCTCTGTTTGTCACTCAAAATTTATTTTTTCATTGCTGAACCAAGCTTTTCTCTAACAGACCATAAGTGGTAAAAAAATTGGTTTAGCCAAGTATCATTTATTCATTTTACGTTGGTTTACGCTTATGAAAAATTCACTCGACAATTGTGCAGATGTTATATTCTTGATATACCTTTATCAAAGATGGATCTACCCAGTGGACAAGAAACGAGTGAATGAATTTGGTTTTGGTGGCGAGGATGAACAGGCCACGACAAGCACGCAGACGCAGGCAATTGAGCAGAGTGAAGAAGAGAAGAAAACTAACTGAGCTCGATGTTATCGAGCAAAAGATCGTTGGCCTATTAACTCAAAAAACGTAATTTTGTTATGAGATTTTTTGTTGTTTGTTTACTTGGTTGATAATTATGTCTATCTCTCGCAATTTGGTGAATAGAGACCGACCGTTGCCTGGATCACCTCTACGAATGCATTGTTTTTTAATGGGTTGTTTGTTAGATTTTATTGTTTAGTAGACTTGTGTTGGGCATCTCTCAGTTGGGTAAACAGTCGGTCACAATGTTGATGTTAGGTTACGTAAAAGTATATTTTAATGATGCATATTTATATTATAAAATGTTAATATATGTTCATTGGGTTTATTTTTTAATGATTAATAAAAAAATAAAAAATACTTTACCAAACCAGTGTATTAATATAAAAGTAACTGTATACATGCACAAATAGGAATTGAGTTTACAAGTAAAAAAAAAAAAAAATTGTAGTTAACATTGAACAAAACAATTTAGCTATGAAGTTATACGGTGGCTCGGTTTATGGAGTCATCCATGGTTATTCACAAATAATGTATTGACACGTGTTTTGCAATAAGTATACATTGGACATGTGTCAATATATAAAGTTATGAATGGTTCTATAGATTTCTGTTAAACAAAATAAATGAGATTGCAAGAACATAAAAGAAAAGCATGAACAAATGTGAAAGTTCGTCATTGTATGACGAAAACATAATTTATTATAAAATTATTCAAACAATAAACTACTTATATTCCATACATAAATGAATAATGTCATTTACACAATTGGAAAAATGAACCCATGAAAAATTTGGATTTTTTTAACTCTCCTACACGTTTTGCCTTTAATTGCATCTATACTACCTATATAAAATATATTGCATTAATACCTAACTCTACCAAAATAATTAGTATTAGGCATGAAACAAAAAAGGGTCATATCCCCTTAATTTTGGTAACTGAATGAGATTATATTTTCCATGATTTTCGGCTACCAAAAATAATATATGTCTTTTCCCTTAAATAGGGCAACTGATTTGTAATATATTCAATCACTTCAATTTTTATTAAAATCAAATTATATTTTTTCCTCCTGTCAGGTAAAAAAAAGCATATATTTCATATATACTATACATATACTGTACATATACCACAACACAACACAAAATAATAGAGGCGCACGATATAAACCATACATATACCAAAAATATACTGAATATAAACCATACATATACTGAATATGTGTAAACCATATTCAATAGAGGCACACGATATATACTGAATATTTATATTTTATTAAATATAAATCATACATATACCGAAAATATACTGAATATAAACGATATGTATAACAGTGGGAACGATACAAACACGATACATTATGAGGGGATGAAAATATACCGAAAATATACTGAATATAAACCATACAGAGGTAGAAAAAAATTCAAACACACGAAACACCAATCCAGATGAAATCATTGATCAAGCAGTAGAAAAAAAAAAAAAAAATTATGTCGCAGCCTTATCATCCCGCACCTCTATTCGTTTTTCACGAGAAGCCAATCAAAAAGGTCTATGCACAGGATAAAATCCAAATAGTTTCCAGCCCTCGTTCGAATTTGCAAAGGCCGTTCTCTTCCTTTTCAAGCAAGCAGCAGTCGTCTCCTTGTCTCTTCGTCTAGAAGCATCGAGCATCATCCCTGCTCATCGGCATCTAAGCAGACCATCGCCGTGAGGGCGGCACTAGAGGCGGCATGAGGGGTGGGGTTTGGTGGAGACAAAGCAAGATCTGGAGAAGAGGGAGAGATGAGGGGAGACGATGGATCGGGTTTGGCGAGAGAAAGCAAGATCTGGAGAAAAGAGAGACGAGGGGAGACGATGGATAGGGTTTGGCGAGAGAAAGCAAGATCTGGAGAGAAAGAGAGAGAGAGAGAGAGAGAGATGAGGGGAGTTACCATGTAAATAGAAATGAAAAGTTACCATGTAAATAAGGAATCAGATTTTTAGGCATATATGCAAATAAATATAACAAATTTAGTTAGTTTGTAAATAATTATATATGAGATGTAATTATGTAATATTTTCAGATTGTTTAAGTGGAGGATGTAATTTCCTCTGAAAAATTTGCCACATCAGAAGCCCGCCTTCGAGCCTCTTATGTGCCTTGAGCTTTGAGCTCTTAGAGGTGGGCCTTTCTCGAGTCATCGCTTTGAGATCGTAGCCGAATTTAAGTTGTCGCCACACCAATAAGAATCAAGCCACATAATCGCACCTGATCGTTGCAACTCACTCGTCGATCATCCATGTAAGTCGCTTGCTGTGGTGTTGACTTTGTGTTTCCAGCATGTTTAAACCATTGACGCTTATCGATTATTTTACCTTAACACACAAACTGATTTATGGGTTCGTGTGTAAGGCAATGAAGAAGAAAAAAGAAAGAGACCCGAGATAAGAAATATGTTCGAACAAAATACCCACAAAACTAGAGTTTGGGTGCAACTTTCGAACTACTCAATAGACTTTCATAAGAAACTGAGCGAGAGAGAAAAATGAAGACAAAAAGATGTGTGTAAATAAGAATTGCTTATGAAGAGTTGTTGTATCCTATTAAAATCGATCACTACTTATAAAACTAGTGAAAAATTCGATGCTATCTATATGGGCACTGCCCCACTTGAGTTTTAACCATTGATTTCACACACACCCATGTGAGTTTTATGTGTAAATCAATGATTAAAACCCACATGGCGACATGGGCAGCGCATCGAATTTGCCCAAACTAGCAACTTACTCTATTAAAGCACAATAAATAACAACTTGTAACGTTCCAAAGAAATGAAAGGTTATTTTGGAGTATATTTTTAGGAATGTTGAGTTAATGCATGTTTAAATAAGACCCCAATCCTTTGCTTGCTGTGCAGTGACAGACTGATTCTCAATTTGGACCACACCATTTGGGCCTATATACACCCAAAGCAAGCCCAATTGAAAGCCAAGGCAATTAAACACAAGGTACAACGTACGAAGCACACATGCCCTGTGCGCGGGAATATGAAAAGACAGGCAGCAAATGATGACCACCTCTTAATAATTGCTCTTTTTCACGCCACGGCTGAATTTGAATGAAACAAAAAACCTACACACACAGAGAACAACAATGGTGGGCGCGAGAGGAAGACCAAGGAAGAACACAGAAACACAGGAAAACGAAAGAGGAAATGTGACCAAATCAGAGTACGAAGAGTCTCGAGCTCAGAGAATCAAGGAAAACGCCGAGAGGATGAAAACCCTCGGCCTTTTCGACCTCTCGAAGAACCTCAAACCTCGTTCCTCCCCCTCCAAACTACCTCGCAAAGCGAAGCCTGCGCACGCGCCTTCGAACGACCCCCCGAGGCGCTCCTCCAGGTCCGTCAATCGGAATCTACACTGCTGTTTAGCCCTAATGATTTTGCCTTTCTCCCATTTTCTGTAATTATGTAGTTCATTTTCGTGTAGACTTTTGCTGGTTTTCTTCTTATTCTTCTTGTCGCGTTTTTTATTCGGGAAAAATGGAAATGGTGTTTTCCGTTCAGGCTGAAGGACTTGCCTCCGGTGAGCTACGTTGAAAAGAAGACCCCTTCAAAGAAGACCATGGTTGAGAACGTTGAAATACATATAGAGGAAGGTGAAAACCCCGAGATCTACACAGAAGAACACAAGAAGCTGCTGGGCGACTCGGAGCATGTCTGGGAGCTGTATGTTGATGGGTATGACGAGGACGGGCAGCGCATTTATGATCCTGTCAATGGCAAGAGCTGTCACCAGTGCAGGTATATTATACAGCTTGTTAAAAGAATGTGCTAGTTTAAACAAAAGCTTGTTTTGATATGAGTTGAGGGTTGTGGAATGATTTATCATTTGGTTATTAAGCATCTTTGTTAAGTAAAATTGCTTGTTTTTTTTTTGTGTCTTGTAGTTCCTGTTGTGTATGTGGGCATTTTGTTTCATCCTAGTTTTAAGCTCATATTTAAGTGGCTAAGTGGATCTTCATGAGCTTGGAGAGATGATGCTGAATTGGGTTTGAATATCAGCTGACATGGATGTGTAGTGACTAAAACTGTATCTTTTGCTTAGCACTGCTTTATTTCTTTTCTGGTCCTGGTCTTTAATCCATCATTGGCTTTGTTAAGGACAAGGAGTTATCATAAAACAAGCTCTTCAGATAGAACTGTAACTTTTGAAGGGAAGTTGGTCAGCATACAAATAGGAGGTTAGTAGTGTTAGTACTCCAGGAACAACTAGCTATACATTTTCATATGAAATAATGCATTGTTATCTTCTTACTGAGCCCTGTCTTTCAGATATATGGTTATAAAAAGTGTTCTAGGTCATGACATGATTCCAAAATCATTTCTTTTCCATTGATTTAAGGATTTAGTCGGTTGTTATTTATGTTTGATAAGAGCATTTTCTCAAGCCTTTCTACAGGGATAAACATTGCCTCTTACTGGTATCTTGCTTTGACTTCGTAATACTTCTTCCCCGAGTTCATGTAGATGTAAATGCTAATGTTTGAAAATTTGCAGGCAAAAAACATTGGGGTTTCATACTAAATGCAGCAAATGCGAGGCGGTCTCAGGGCAGTTTTGTGGAGATTGCTTATACATGAGGTGTTTATTTATTTATTTTTTTTTTTTTTATTTTTTGGTACTTAGATAACAGAAATCATGACAAACTATCGGAAATGGAAGTTATTATTTTTTTCTTTCATCTCAGTCTACGAGTATCACGCTTCATCTTTCTAGTAAAGTTTCCCATGCATGATTCTAAAATTTGTTTGTTGAACCTGATATAGAACATATTCTATTTCTTAATCATTATACAAATGCATAAATATCTGGCATGTGTTGCTCGAGAGAAAATTCATGTCTGTTAGCTGCTCGATTCACTCATGGAACTTGACTCCTAATCCTGGTATCTAATGTCACACATTTCATTACATGTGAACATACAAAAAGTAATGTGAAAAACAGAACTCCCATGATAGGACCTTTTTTACATTCATTCTTAGATTATCCTGAAATGAACAAGTAGTCCCAATCACAAGTCATTAGTTTCCTCTCCCAGTTGCTCTCTTGAAAATGCTACACATATCATGCCATCCTTTGATACAAAATTAAGTTCATTTGTATTGCAAATTTCAGATATGGCGAGAATGTGAAAGAAGTAAATCAGAATTCAGAATGGGTCTGCCCCACATGTCGGGGAATATGCAACTGCAGCCGCTGCAGAAGAGAGAAAGGATGGATGCCTACTGGAGCAATCTATAACAAGGTAATGTTTTTGGGACGAGTCTTTTATTTGTTATGTTGTGGCTCTTGTTACTAAGTTTTCTTTCCACATGTTTAATAATATCAAGTTTGATGGAATTCATCATATGATATACATCCTCCGCTTATTCAAGGGATCATTACAAAAACCATTCCAGATACTTTACCAAAACTGCAATTAACTACTGTTACAAATTTGAAGATACTTCCTAGCCCTTGATTGGAAAGGATCAACACATTGATTTATATTACCTCTTTTGAACATTTCAGGTTTCAAAGCTTGGTTTCAAATCCGTGGCGCATTACCTCATTCAGACTCGCAACGAGCATGCGGTTCAAGAGGAAGCTACCGACAATTTAGTCTCTGCTGCCAAATCACTTCCAGTTGGCACTGGAAAAGACAAATCTGGGCTTTCACTGGGTGGCGGGAAAAATGAAGGAGAGAAAGTGGTCGTGGAACTTGATAGCGATGAAGACTACAGAGGAGACAATTATGAAGATGATGATGGTGATGATGGTAGCATTAGTGAAAATGATACCCTGTCAGTAAACTAAAGAAGACACTTGGGTTTTCTGAGCTCTATTCACTAACTTAATTTCAGACATTATTACATTAAACCTAGACTCAATGGTTTTTGAGGCCTTTCCTTAAGCTTTTGTTGTGAAAGTTGGCCTGTAGTTTTTGACTAGGATGAAGTGTGCACATGCAGTTGGGTACGGGTTGTTTTGAATCTGCATGTGGATCGATATCGGTTCTAGCTATATTGTTGGTTTGGAATGACCTTTTGTAAAGAACTTTGTTAACATGACAGACCTAAAGCAAGGGAACTTGTTGGTTATGATGAATGTAGGTGGCATCTTGAACTATAGTGAAAGAATCACACTCTTTATCATGTCCAAGTTTCTTTCATTTGGTAGGCCTAACCGCATCATACTTGAAATATACATGAATACTTCCAAATTAAAATGTCATATTGTGACATTTGTAACATAGGTATATACTTTTTGTTAAAAAAAGTATGATGAGTCGATTCGTCCAAGGCTATTTTATACAAGAATTTGTGATTTCCATTCCATGTATCAAACATAATAATTATCATTTAAGAACTTGACATCCATTCTTTTTTTCCCCTTCCCTTTCTTTTTTATGCAAGTCAAACTTCAAGGTTTGTAACATATCCTTCCATGCAATGAGAAATTTGCAGACAAATTCACCAACAAAGATTCACATTTTATCAGCATTACTCGAAGCCGTAGGAGAAGCAAGCGGAAACAACGTCAGCAGCTCGGGTTCAGGTGCAAGCCTAGGCTTTGAACGAGGAGAAGGGTGCAAATAAAACCTCTTTTCTTTGATAGCTTTTTCTTCCTCTCCAGGATTTAGCTCAAGCTCATTTGATGGAGATGCTCTTTTATTCGAACTCCCAATGGGCGTGCTTATTGGGCTGGCCTGCAAGCTGTTGGGTAGGCTGAGCATCATCACACTAGATGATGGGCTTGTTGAGAAGGCCCCAAAGCCTCCTTGTGGGCTCCCCTCAAAAAGCATATTTGGGCTTGTTGCCATCTTCGGCTGCAAAGATTGATGGTCTTGGAAGTCACCGAGCTTTGCAATCTCAATCTTGGGCTTGTTGTATTTCCTTCGCTCGTGTAGCTTTTGGGGTTGTTTGGGTGCTGGAGACTTGACCGGTGCTTGGGGTTGGGCTTGGGCCTGGTTCCCAGATGGGCCAGTCAAGCGTTGGACCAAGTCTCGAAAACAAGTCGAATCAGCTTGCACAAAGGTGGTTCCGGCTTTGGCACCACCGTCCCCGCCACTGCCGGTGGCCGGACTTTGGGCCATTGTCTTGGCCATGCAATTGGTATTTAAACTGCAATAGAATATAAAATAAATTCATTTATGTATCATTGAACTAACATAAAATAAACCCTTGTCAAAGGTTCTCCTTCCTTTTCTTCTTCTTTTAATATCACATCTTCATGAACTAGTATTTTTTACAGACTTAGGACCAGTCCCGTTAACCGGAACCGAAACCTATAAGCTATAACTATTTCGATTTATATGTTAAATTTTGTATATACTTAAAAGAACCAAACTAACGGTTCGGTTATTTCGGTTCCTTAAGTAACTGAATTACAAGATATACACGGTTAATAACATATAAAAAACATGAAAAAATCGTACAAAATATTAAAAAAAAATCAAGAATCAGAATATAAAAGTGAAGAACCGAATCATAAAAGCTATTATGCATATAATTATTATATACATATACTTTGGAAGCTATATTTGGTTATGCTGTCAATACACATACATTTCCATATNTAAAAGAAGATATACATAACAACTAAAGAGAAGAAAATTAAAGAATATGAAAGAAAAGAAGCATCATTATGAAAACTAGGATAAATACCTCAAAAGGGCTTGAAGAAAAAACCTGAAAGATCTGACCTGTGATAAAGAACTGAATAGGGTTAATTAATTAGAGTAATATATATTTATACATATAGAATTGAGAAGAACAAGGAGATAAATATGATACTATTAATGCTTGACATGCAATTTTTCTTGCAGAAAATGATTATGGTTTATAGCTCTCTCCTTGTGGGGATTATGTTGGTCAACTCAAATATATATATAGGTGCATGAAAATTAATGTCTGAACAATAATAACCTTAAGACCAGGGTTTTAATATTAGTGTTGACTATAAAATCTTTTATTCGTTTGACTATCATGCCTTGCCATTCATTTCAATGTCAATATCAATATTTTGTAAGGCAAAAAAAAAGAAAGAAATATCACAATTATTTATAATAATGCAAATATATGGTAGAATATGGAATCTCGTTTACGAAAAATACGCATATCCATGAGTTATATACATGCAAGAACTCATTTTTGAAATAAAAGATAAAACACGAATTGTATAATAATTAACTACAAAATATATAACTGTCAGCATATATTTTTGAAAAAAAAAATGAACATTTATTTTCACCCTTATTCTCAAGGAATCCATTTTGGTCACAATAATTAAGCACATCAAATAAGGTTGGATCCAACGTTTAAAAACCCGACAAACCTAAAATCAGAAATGATCTGGATGGATCATTCGAACATAACAACAAGCGGATAGGTCAAACTTGGAGTGACTCGATCGAATCGCACATTGACCCTACCAGGTCAATTCGGTTTGATTTAACTAACTTATATTGTTTTAAAAAAAATTTGTTTTATAAAATACAATTACGTGTATATCTAGGCGGTATATATGACGAGACATAACATTATTAAAATTTTGAGTTAAACATTATTTTTTAATACATATATATATATCTATATTTCTAAAATAAAATTAATATACATATATATTTTAAATTTTAAAATCAATTATACCAATCATGTAATGGCCAATGGAATATGACAAATTGAATTTGACCAATGGACCATATGATAGCAAGAAATTTCCACTTGGAATTGGAACTTATGATCATGTAATGGATTTATGGTCTTTTATTGACAATATTGCAATTTCTTTGCATTGAAAAAAAAAAAAATTATAAAAAATATATTGACACAAAAACCTCATAACTAATAAATAAATTACATAATATTATATTGCATTTAATAAACGGGGATATATTTAGTTTTAATTATTGAACACTTTTGCTTAAATGTAGCTTTCAGTAAAGCCTAAACTCAGAAGTAGTCATGACACAACACACACACACGGCCCATTGATTATAATTTCCCAACTAACATACAAGACAACATGATGCACAATAAATTCCTACACCTAATTAATATAAAAATTTTATCCCATAGTTAAATAATCTCATTCTCATCCTACACTTCTTCAATTTTTTCATTTTCTTCACCATTTATCATCAATATTTTTTAATTATATTTTTTTTTTATATTATTAGGCATGAACACCGGTACAGAGGAGTTCACATTCCCAATAATCACAAGCAATAACATCAATGTCCACCTCACAGTGTTGCCTTCTCTTTGGAGAATTTCCTCAATCAACCAATTACATAATTCAGAGCAGCCAATTGGGAATATCACAAACAAGAGGAGGATTTTCTGTAACTATTATTATGTGATGGAAAATGGAAAAAATGGGAAAATTGATAAAAAAACAGAGGCTGATGAAGAGAAGATGGATGTGCTATGGGAGGATTTCAATGAAGAAGTGTCACAAGATGGCACTGGTAATAGTTTTGATACAAATAATAATATTGCTAATGATAATATTTCTGATATTTGTTACAGCCATGATCATGAAAATGATGGTTTGATTAAGGATGTTTTTGAGGATGATTTGAAAATGGAGTGTGGGGTTTTGATTCCTACAAAGAGAAAGAACTTGGAGTTGTGGGGCAAGAAGGTGTTGAAGAAGCTTTTTTTGGTCAAGAAAACAGGTCTGTAAGTAATTACTTTTTTTTTTTTTATTTATTTATGATTATTTGAGTATAGGGTGGTTTTGTTTTTTACTTTGTTGCTTTTTTGCTAGCTAGATTTTGTCCATGTGAGAGCACACAATTTGAATACAAGAATTTAACTCTGTAATACATAATTTCAAGTGGAACTACTCATTTTAGTGTCTTATTAAGACTAATGAATGTTAGTCATTTTATTTATACTTGTTCATGTTTCACAAATTGCATCTTTTTTGATTCATGAATGGATGATT